CCCAATTGAACGAGCTGGCTAGCTGGCTATGCTGCCAAGCCCGCTAGCCATATGGCTAGATTTTGGCAAGTGGGTCCCAAGGTTTTTTGGGCCAGACATCCATTGGAGATGCGTTTTGTGTCAAAAGGGCTAGCCTTTAGCTTATGGCCTTATGGCTGGCCTGGTTGGAGATGACCTTAGTGCGCTAAGGCCATCTCCAACCGAAAGGGGCTATGTTTAACCCTCGTCTAGATTATAGCCATGCAAGAAATTTTTTTTAAATAAATAGTGTGAGCCATATTTATAAATTATATACCATCTTCAACCGGATGAGGCTATTTTTTAGCCTCCTCAATAATTTATTATTTTAAGTTTGTTCTTTAAATTTTTTAGTTAATTGAATTAAATTACCATATTAAAATAAAATTTCCGGACATATTTTGAGAGCCACTTGAAGATGTGGTGATTTGAAAATTATTGAAAAAAAAATTAAAGGAAAGATTATTGGAAGAGGTAAGAGGAAGATGTGTATGAAAAGAGTGTATGAGGTGAATAGAATGTGAAAAATTGAAATAAAATAAGGGAATGGTGAAAATGATGTGAGAAATGGTGTAGAAATGTCTTAAGTATTTATAGGGAAAAAATTAGAATCTTTAATTTTTTTTAATTTCGTCTTAGAAAAAATAATTTCCAGTTGGGCCCACTGAACGAGTTGACCATATGGCTAGATTTTGGCCCTTGGGTTCCAAATTTTTTTGGCACAGCCTGGTTGGTGATGGACTAAATAGTTAGCTGTTAGGGGGGAGAAGTATGTAGGGATCAAACCCGTACTAGGAGAGTACATAGACATAATTACTTTTTCCACTGCAGTAAAGTGTCATTTGCTCTTCTCCGTAATCTTTAGATCATATCTGAAAGTGAGTGACTGTTTATTATTTGGTTAGAAAACATTTATAAATGCCATGAGACGGAAAATGAAAGTATCCCATAAGAAATATAAAGTGGGAAGAAATGTGATCATTTCTATTCATGTATCTATACCTAAAAATAAAGATATGTCCTTAAAACCATTTTCAACTCTTGGGTTAAAATCTAAATTTTTTAAGAAACAGAAAATTTAGGTTTTAACCCAGAAACAAATTTTATCCTCCAACCCTATTGGGTTAAATTTTTAGCCCGAGATTATTAAAGAATAAATTTATAATTTTTTTTCTTCTAAAAGTAACTTTAAAAAAAAATTATGTAGACTATCCTAATTTAATTTTATGAACATTTTAACCTAAAAATATTTAGATTCCGATAAATATTGAAAAATCAGTAAACGACACTATGAAACTCGTGAAACACAAAGAAAGAATATGAAACACATAAAAGATTTTTTTTATATAATTATTTTAGCCGTTGGATTTAGATTTGAACTATTAGATTTTTTTTATTTTTTATTTTTACTGTTGGTCTGATCATATTAAATTTTAATCGTTGAGTTCAATGAATTTAGAAATATAAAACTAAAAAAATACACATATATGTGGCCCAACCCCACTAACCCAGGGGAAATTTTGGCCTAAATTTGCTTGAGAAATGAGTTTTTGGTTAAACTTTATATTTGTCTCAAGGATTGGAGCTAGTTGGGGTAAGTTTATAACGTAAAATTTGAGTTTTACTCTGTGGGTTGAAGTAGGTCTAATAGAGGAGGTTGTTTATTTCATACTTATTCGTGTATTTGTACACATAAACAATATTTAGACAAGAATTAGTAGCTCATCTTTTGAATTTTCTATGAAAATAAGTTAGCTAAATGTAATAGTTATAATAATAAGGGTTAATCTCTGTTTACTATCCTAAAGTTTTGTGGTTTTCAACATTTGGTACATGAAGTTTTTTTCATCCCAGAGTCATACCTCAAGTCTTAAATTTGGAACAGTTTCATACCTCCGTTAGTCAAATTGTTAAGTCTGCCGTTAACTGATGACGTGGCGCCCATGTGGACAATGACTGGGTGCCACGTGTCATCCACGTGGAAATTAAAAATTAATTAATTAATTAATTAAAAAATTAAAGAAAAACCCTTCTTCCCCAAATCCCACCCGTTCCCACCCTCCCACCCTCCCCTTTATCTTCCCCAAATCCCTCCTCCCTCTGCAATAACAACAACGACCCGAGGCACCACCTCACCTTGCCCCTCCATTGAGCTTCACCGCCACCAACAACCATCACAATCTACCCTGCACCTTCATGTTCCCCTCGTCTCGCTCTCTCTCCTCTATGCTCGAGGCACCACCTCGCCTCACCCCTCTGGCGAGCTTCACTTCCATCAACAACCATCACTGTCTACCCTGCACATCCCCGTTCCCCTCGTCCCGTTCTCTCTGCTCTGTGCTCAAGGCACAGCTGTAGCAATGGCAGCCACCATCGCCATACTTCCCGACGAGATTTCACGGTGCTCCGACCTGGGTAAGCCTCAAGATGCTTAAGATTCTTTCATTTTCGTCATGGTGGTTTAATTTTAACCTAGAGTTTGCGATTTAAACGTCGGATTTGCACAGGAACATAGAAAGCAAGAAACTCAGTTTTCCGACGAGGGTCCGACGACTTTTGAGCCGTTTTCCGACCACTTTCCTGCTACGGCAAGGCCAAATATTGATATATTTATAGGGGTGTGATATCCACACACCTTATTTTACTTCTCACACACCTTTTTAATTTTCGGCCGTCGGATCGGATGAATTGAAGAAGATCAACGGACAGAAATTATCAAGGGTGTGTGAGAAGTAAAATAAGGTGTGTGGATAACACACCCCTATTTATACTCCTCTCCTTCATAGCTTCAATTTAGTAAATAATATGTCTAGGTTTTGTTTGGTTTTGGGGTTGATCGGAGCTCGGGGAGCTCCGGCGTTCTTCTTCGTGGAGTCCTTTTAACTAAATTTACAACGGACCCGTTAGTGATAGAATGTTGGGGTGTGAGTGTGAGAGAAAGAGTGTTGGGGGGTGGGTGATTTTTTTTAATTAATTAATTATTTTATTTTATAAATAATTTATTTTTAATTTCCATGTGGATGACATGTGGCGTCCAATAATTGTCCACATGAGCGCCACGTCATCAGTTAACGATAGACTTAACAATTTGACTAACAGAGGTATGAAACTGTCCCAAATTTAAGACTTGATGTATGACTCTAGGATGAAAAAAATTTCATGTACTAAATGTTGAAAATCACGAAACTTTAGGTTAGTAAACAGAGATTAACCCTAATAATAATGTAGACTTAACTTGTACGTATTCGATTATGCAAGACGTTACTTCATTAGAAAACGCAAAGACACTATTATTTTTCTCCTTCTTCCCGCTGACATACGTAAGGTAGCATATACAAAACAAGACGCTACGTAATCAGCATACATCTTTGTTTGTCCGTTTTACCAAGTCAGCCAAAAACCCTAACGCTTATAGGCCCACCAATACTTGTAGTGTTTTCCCTTTCTTTTTAGGTTTTTTTTAGTATAATGGTCTTTGAAATTGAAATAATTATTTACTTTGGTCTATTTGAAATCAATATAAATGGTCACTGAAATTGTTCACCGTTAATCATTTAGGTCATTCTATGAAAAATTTCTATTCAAATTGAAGAAACCTTCAAGCGGAGGGGCTGATTTGACAATAATACACTCAATTTAATGGAGATTTTTCATAAAATGACTAAAATAATTTAGGTGGACAATCTCATGACCACTTTTATTAAATTTAAATAACAGAAAGTAAAGTGAGAAGTTACATCAATTTCAAAAACTATTTTAGTTAAAAAGTCTTCTTTTTTGTTTATGGCTTTAAAGTTTGCTTCAATGAAATCATATTTGAAAGAAATTTCAGGGAAATACTATGCAAGGTCTTGAATGTCCTTAACAAAGAGTTTATAATCTCCGAGGACTTGGTAGTTTCACTTTAGTTACCTCTATACTTCACAATAGGTTATATATATATATATATATATATATATATATATATATATATATAATCTCCTATATTACGTAATAAAAATACTAAATTGAAATACAAAATAAAAAAAAACCTCCGACAACTATAAATTTTACACAAAAACATTTTAATAGAAAAAAATCTTCATTTGTCGACTTTTCATACTATATTGCTAGTTTTTTTAGATGAAAATAAAAGATTACAAGGAAAGGCTCATAAAACAAAGTACTATATCGATAACGATCTTGCCTCTTTTGATTGGAAACAATACCAAACCACAGGAACACTAGAAAAATGACCCTTAATAGCATCTATGAGGATTGTGACATTCCTTTATGGTATGTTTGAGTGAGGAATTTTAAAATTCTAAGACGTTTAGGCAAAATGAAAACGAAATGAATCAGATAAAGTTAGATATGTTGTTAAACTAACCATTGAGAGAGAGATAGAGTGGCTGGCTAAAGAAGAGAGAAAGAAAGAAGGGCAGGAGGAATTATGTATGTAATTTCTCATGCCTAATGTCTTTATTTATACTAATTATGATGAGTTTTACTTGTCCTACAAGTAATACAAATTGTACAAGAAAAGATCTTTTTAATTCTGTACAATTCATACTTCTAGCTTACACAATCATACTAGTTATCAACCACTATTTACAACAAAATAAGAGGAATTGAAAAATACATCTATGATTATTACAAAGGTATGTAATAGTGATTTATAAATGACTCATTCCAAGTAGTCATTTGTAAATCTCTCTATCATGTTATTTGTACTTTTATCAACCTTTTTGTGATCAATTGTTCATCATTGGAAGAGTGATGCTACGTACACCAACATTTTAGATCAAATTTACAAATCATGTTATCAATACTTAAGTGATAATCTAATCATAACATATTTTTATTACAAAATGCAGATACGAGAAAAAAAAGGAAAAAATAGCACTCGAAAAAGAAAGAAAAATAAAAATGTTTTGAAATGGGAATTAGCAAAAGCTTATCTGCTATTGTTATTGGCTTTTAAATAGAAAATACCCGCTGAAACGAGCCAAAACTACCGTCATTTTTCAGTAGACCCATCAGATAGGAATAGGAGGGGGCCAATCCATATCCCTCTTTCTCTCTCCACCCCCGAAGAGAATCTAGGGTTTGTCTGCAACAGTGAATCTTTTCCTTTCCCGTCTGCTGCTGGTATATCTGGTAAGGGAATCTCTAACGTTTCACTCAAAAACTTTCCTGTCACAGAGAAAGTCCACCTAGGGTTTTCAAAACTCTAACTCTCTCTCTCTCTCTTCCTACTGAAGTCTCCAATTCTCTGGTATTGTTTTCTGACCATTTTTCTGAATTTGAATGCTTGGATTCTACTGGGTTTTTTCTACTCTTTCGTTTCTCTGTGTTTGAATGGTTGCTGTTGTAAAGTTTGTGTTTTTATGGTTTTGGCTGGGTAATTTGCTGCTGGGGCTTTGATCTTTTGATGATATTAATAGGAGTTTCGCTTGTGATCATGTATGTTTTGCTTTTGATTAGTATGATAAGTAATTGACTTTTGCTTTTGGTTGGATAGAAATTTGGGGGGAAATAAGAGAGTTTTGAGTTTTGTGATAAAGGTTGTTTTGGGTTCTTCTGAAAACTTAGAAACTTCATTACTTGGTTGAGTTGAAATCTTTGTTTCGAGGTTTCAAAATTGACTGTTTTTGCTTTTCGTAACTTTTCGTTGGCAAGGGGTTGAGCTTTCATGGTATCTGCTGGTCTAAGCACTCACTTGCAATGAAATTTCAGAATTATTATTGTTTTGCTGATAATTGGAAGTGAAAAATAAAAAATATAAAGGGTATACTACTTTTGAGCATATAGTCTATTTGTCTAGCACAATTTGAGCAAAGGTGGATATGAAGACCGATGAGGCGTTGATACTATTGAAAATTTGTTAGCACCTCTGCTTCTGTAGGACAACATATTCTCTTGGACATTCTAGTTCATGTATTCCAGAAATAGTTATTAGTTTATAAAAAAGTAATTTACTTTCTGGCATGAAGTTATTAACTATTTAAGGAGGTAAATAATAAATATTAGTGATTTCTTTTTCACTAAACATATGCTGATCAAGGACTAGGGTGTCCTTGTCACATTTATAGTTCTTTCCATTGGGGATTTGTATCGTCTATTGCAATAGTCCCCCATTTTCTGACTTAAATGCCATTATATCTTGGTTTTCCAGAGGAGTATGTGAGGTTGCTTATACTATCATATTACAGAGGGGCTTATATTTTCTGATAGCATGGCGACAGAAAGTCCAATAAGAATGTCGGAAACTAGTGGAAAATGGGCTCCTCGCAAGAAGACTGCAAAACTTGCACCTTCATCTGCTAATATGGCAGCAGAGGAGTTGAAATTGCTTCTTAGGGGCCATAAGTTTCAAAGCAGCGGACAGGATGTTTCCCCCAATCGAAGTGGAAGTGCACCCCCAAGTATGGAGGGTTCGTTTTTGGCCATCGATAACCTGCTGTCCCAGCAGGACTCGAGCATGAATGGAAGCTTGGCAACTCTAGGTAGTGTTATTGAAAGGTGTGAGACTGAGGAACAATTACGGGCTGATCCAGCTTATTTGGCATATTACTGTGCCAATGTCAATTTGAATCCTAGACTTCCTCGTCCACTTATTTCATGGGAGAATCGACGTCTGGCACGCAATATTGGTAGTTTCAGCCAGAGTCAGGGACCTGTAGATGGGAGTGGCAATTTTCTGTTGCATATGTCTCAAGGATCACTTCCTACACACAAGGAAGAATCTGAGGATGATCAGTCTTCCCAACTCTTTTCTAATGATTGGGTAGATCAGACAAGTGAAGTTTGGTTGGGAGAAGGTGCTGCGTCATTGGTAGGCCAACACCAAAATGTGGGTGATTTAATACAGGTTCATACTCGATACCTTGACATTTTACTCAACAAGGTGTATATATTCCTATCTATGATTACCTTTAGAATTTCATTCTTGTTTATTTGTCGTTGGGTTGTGATGTTTGAAATTTCTCTCTTAAAATAGCTTCTATTGGTCAAATGAAATTAATTTTTTTTACCGATATTTTGAATCCCAGAAAAAAATTACTGTTGGAAAAACTCAGGAGGAGGCGCCGATAAAGTAGTCACCAGTTGTTTTTAGCTTTGCTTTCCTTACAATATCATAGTTGTAAATGTAAATCATCTTTTTATTTCCAGGAAGATTTTGGTTGCTCTTCACCACCTGTCCCTAATCACTCTCATACATTAGGCAAGGAAGTACCTGAGGAATTCAATGATCACAGTACCGATTCCAGTTCCATGCATGATCCTGCTATTAATGTGACAACTACCATTAAGCCCAGCGTGGATGCAGAAACTGCTGATGCTACAGCGCTTTCACCAAATGACGATTCCTGGCCCGCCTCTGAAATTTCCAGGAGCACAGCTGTTAATGATGCAAGTGTTGCGGTCATTGAATCTGAAATGAAGGCTCTTAACATATCGGACTTGATAGAGAATCAAAAGAAACAAGAACAATGGGAGCGCAGTTGCCAGAATCATTTCTTGCAGCAGCATCAGCAACAAAACAATTTTTTTCAAGTTCAAAGTGGCAAGTCGCAAATAACCTCTCAAGGAACTGACGGTACATATGTTAGCATGGATCAGTATCTTCATAATACATCCAAGTATGCAGCGGATGTACAACCAGTTCATCAGACATCTGGGTTCACACCTCCACTATATGCAACTGCAGCCTACTTGAATTCAGCTAATCCATATTACTCAAATATTCAAGGACCGGGCTTTCTCACTCCACCATATCTTAGTGGATATACTTTGAATCCCACTGCCTTTTCTCCATATATTGGTGGATACCATCCTCCGGGTGCTGTTCCTGTGGTTGTTGATGGAACTGTGGGTCCAAGCTTTAATGCTCGAACATCTGGGGTTGCAACTGGGGGCATCCTCTCACCTGGTGCTGATATGCAACATTCAAGCAAGTTCTATGGTCAACTTGGATATCCGCTGCAAACTTCTTTTTCTGAACCTATGTACATGCAATACCACCAGCAGCCTTTTGTGGACTCGTATGGTGGTCCAAGACAATTTGATCCATTGGCATCAAGAGGTGGTGTTGACTCAAAGAAAGTGTCCAGTCACGGTTCTTATTTGGATGAACACAAAAGCCAACATCAGAGAATTGGAAACATGGGGAATTTGAACCCACAAAGAGGAGGGTCAATGACTCCTAACTATCTTGGAAGTGCACCAAATGTTGGTATTTTGATGCAGTATCCAACCCCTCCCCTTACTAGTCCAGTTTCGCCAGTACCCCTCATAGGTTCAGGTATAAATACTGGCTTGTATCCTGCATGGCCAAGGCACAGGGGCTTTGAGAGTTATGACGACCCCAAGATTTATAATTTCCTTGAAGAGTTGAAATCTGGCAAAGGCCGCAGATTTGAGTTATCTGATATCACAGGACATATTGTTGAATTCAGGTACTTTCTTTGTGCTCAATTGGTTGATTTTGTTATTAATTGTTAGCAATGAGTAAGTCATCATGAATTTTTCAACTCCAGTGCTGATCAACATGGGAGTCGATTTATTCAGCAGAAGTTGGAAAACTGTAGTGTTGAAGAGAAGGCTTCTGTATTCAAAGAAGTTCTCCCACATGCTTCTAAACTAATGACTGATGTTTTTGGTAACTATGTGATTCAGAAGGTATGTTTCTAAGTTTTTTCTTTTCTCTCTATATATATCCTTTTAAAGAAATGTCAGGGTTCATGCCATTTTATTAATTTCCACTTCCTTTGTTATTTCAGTTTTTTGAGTATGGAACCCCTCAGCAGAGAAAAGAACTTGCCAATCAACTTTCAGGTCAAATTTTGCCTTTAAGTTTGCAGATGTATGGCTGTCGTGTAATCCAAAAGGTATGAAAGTGTGATAAGTTGTTGCTGAATTGTGTGCTAATCAACTTCGTGTGGCACATTCATGTTTGATGATTTGCAATTTTATAATACAACTCATCGTTTCCTTTATTTATTTTAGTGGGTGCGGGCAGTCTAGAACAGTTTTAAAAGTGTCTAAATGGATTCAATTGACTGGTAGCTTATCTTGACTTGTCTGGAAGTTATGCTAAATTTTAGCTCCATATTGTTGAGTTGTTTCCCTTATTCATATAGACGTATTTGAAGGTGCTCAATAGGTTTTTGATATCAAGTGCTATTACCAGTGATTATTAAAATTACAAAACTGAATGCAGATATTTGGGGGTGTAATTGCTTATCTTTCTGATTTTTTTAGTTTATATGTTTTTATTTATCTTTTCCAACCTCAAATATTTATTTATCAATGTTGCTATTTTGCAACTGCAGTATTATGGCGTTTGCCTTCATTGTATTGTATTGTGTTTTATAGGAGCTTTTTATTTGTAATTATTGGCGCATGAGAGAGTTGCTGCACTTTGTTCTTGTCTCTGACTTGTAATTCTTTCTCCTTGCATCTTTTTTAATTTTTCTGAGACGGGGTCGAGGACTGTAGATGCTTTTATTCCTTTTAGAATAGTTTACCCATTGACCAGCTGCTAACAATATTTTCATAATGAAATGGTCTATCTTTTTCTTTTTTTTTTCTTTAAAAGCAATTGGTATTGGCCAAACAGTAAAGTGTAATTGCAACTGGAAGCAATGTGTAGTATATAATTGCCTTCCCAGCTTGGTGTTCTTTGGTCCAATAATGTTATGCCTATGTCATTTATTGTTTATGGCCGGTGCAGGCACTTGAGGTTATTGAACTTGAACAGAAAGTGCAGCTTGTACATGAGCTGGATGGGCATGTTATGAGATGCGTTCGTGATCAAAATGGAAACCATGTCATACAAAAGTGCATTGAGAGCATTCCAACAGAAAAAATTAGGTTTATAATCTCTGCTTTCCGTGGTCAAGTTGCAACACTTTCAATCCATCCTTATGGCTGTCGTGTTATACAGGTATCAATAAACTTATGGGGTTGTAACACTTTTCTTCCCTCTTTGCCACTCTTCCTTCGGTTATCATGCAAAGAATTCACCTGTTTCCTTGTTTTTGGTTTGTTGTAGAGAGTTCTGGAACATTGTACAGATGAGCTGCAATGCCAGTTCATAGTTGATGAGATCTTGGAGTCTGTTGCTGGTCTTGCCCAGGACCAGTATGGCAACTATGTCACACAGGTTTGTATTGGACTCTGTACTTTAAGTATTAATTACTATCTATTATGACAGTTGATCTCACATTGAAGAACTAATATGCCTCGCTAAAGATTTAATTAATGCATAATGGAAACTCAATCGATGTCTTAGTGGTTATACTTAATACAGAGGTATCACGTATAGGGAGCACAGGAACATGTATTTCATGATAAGATTTGCCCTCCTATAGGAAGAGGATGGCCATAGGTTACTAGCACTTCAAGTTCTCTTCGGTGTTTGGCTCAAGCAGTAAACAGTGTGGCTAATTGATGACGGAAATTTCTTTGACCGAGGTGGAGAAACAGGCATCCAATAGTGAGAATAACTCATATGGCATAATTTTTTTTGGAAAGGCATGACTCCAGAAGTTGACTAGCTAGTGTTTTGTAACAGAAGAGGGCTTGTAGTTCAGTGTGTCCCTGTGTCTACACCAGAAATTGCCTTCCACACACATACTTACACTGTTTGATGCACACATGTTTCGCGGTAGAATGACATGAGAAAGGTGTTTTAAAACCCCCTCTCTGATGCCTATTTGGTTCTCCTACCCTCATGATTCTGTAGGTATACAATGTGCATGTTCAGCTTTTTTTCCTTCTTAATAGTTGAAAGCTGAGACGTATATTCTGTGTTCTATATGTGCAACACTTTTTGCCAACTAAATTTCTGGATGTACTTTATGCTTCCTAGTTACAAGTACATATTTCATCGTCTCTATACTACATGTGATTGATCTGCATCATTTGTCTGGCTAATGAATTTTTTTATGCTTGACAGCATGTATTGGAGAGGGGAAAACCTAATGAAAGAAGGAAAATTATTAACAAGTTGTCGGGTCATTTCGTACCTCTGAGCCAGCACAAGTTTGCTTCAAATGTTGTTGAGAAATGTTTGGAATATGGTGGTGCTGCAGAACGAGACTATTAATTAGGGAGATCGTTGGGCATAATGAAGGAAATGATAATTTGTTGGTATGGAGAATTGTTCATTGGCCCTCTAGTCCTAGTGGAAAAATACATTACTTGTGTTCTTTATGTTTATATGCACACACGTACACGAACACGCACATGCCAGTTTTTATTTTACAAAGCAGTACAAGTGCATTTGAAGCTCGTACTTGTCTTGCTTAATCTCCATTTTTTTTGTCTTAGGGTAATGATGAAGGACCAATATGCAAATTATGTGGTGCAGAAGACCCTTGAAATCTGTAATGATAGTCAACGGGTGTTATTAATTAATCGTATAAGAGCTCACACAAACGCATTGAAGAAGTACACTTATGGGAAGCACATCGTAGCACGGTTTGAGCAGCTATTTGGAGAAGGTGTGTACTCTTAAACTTTGTATCACTCTTGGTATACCGTATAATGTGTACTGCTTCATCGATTAAATGTGGAGTATGCATGCTGAACCTCATTAACTCGGAGAGGTGGAAATGACCAAAATGTGGTTGAAGTAGCCTCTACTTCATTTGAAATCTCGCTTTTATGTTCTAATTCTTTATAAAATGGAAAATTTGTTTGGCGCCCTTCGTCCATTGCAAATTGAGAAGGGTATTTTATGAAGTATTGGGTTTTTGAACTGTTTAATTGATCATGTGGTAAAGAAATGGATAATCGGAAGAGGAAATGACAGGGTAACACAATTTTAGTGCCTCCTAGTGGCATACAGTTTCGAACATTGCAAAGACAATCTCACAAGTATATTCGTCATTTGACCATACTTTTGTTTTTCTTTGGCCTGCAGAAAATCTATCAGGATCGTGATGGGGACGAAGGCAAAATATCCAAGAAAGTACCTTCAGTGAATCTGTGGTTTGTCAATGCATACAGGGAATGTGTATCCCATGGAAATTGAAGAGAATAGCATGAGATTGGTTTACTGTGGCACCCTGTTCATGGGAGCTGTGGCTTGGCCGTGCAGCCAAGTTGTCATGTGGCTTCATGTGCAATTCGACCATCAGTAAGAGGGGGTTGATGTTTCGTTGGTAGGTAAGTTGGTCGGGTTGGTAGTTGCTAGTAAATATATGTTTTATGGTGAAGAAGTATATACTTACGTACTCATAGGACGATTTGATTGCCGTACAATTCAGTGATTGTAGTTATTGGTAGGAAAAACCTTGATGCTGTATATCTATTTAGCACATTATTTGTTGCAAATGTGTGGTTTTTGTGATAAATTGTAGGCGTTTTTGTTTACGACCGTAGAAAAATTGCAACACGGTCCCCTCTAAATAAACGTTTCGTTGGTTCAAACTACACGTTTAAGGCTCAATCTGCCGAGCCTTGTAGCTTTGAGTTTGTAAATAAGCAGGGTATTAAAGTGGTAGGTTGTATGGAGATGTAAGTCAAGGAGGAGAAATTCTGTCGCCTTATGCAGAGGTCGCATTAAGCACGCCCCGAGTCTTCGGGTTAGTAGGGCGTATACTCACCTCTCTCCCTCTTGAGCTAACTCGATGTCTGATGGTTTTCAAATGTGAGGTTTTCAAGTGATATTCACGCCTAATTGCGAAGGGTAATGTTAGGAAGATTAAAATTTTAAATTAAATTTTATTAACCGAATGATGTTGATGTTGATGATTGAATTATTACTTAAGTGTTGATTAACTTGCTTATTTTCTGTTGGTGACACATCATTTGATATGTCATTTTGGTTTAAAGTTTTAATGTTCCTAGCATTATCCAATTGTGAATATGTGACACCACGAGTTTGAGGGGTCTATGCTTGCCATCCAAAGGCTAAAGTAATAATCTTATGCCACCTTGCCATGTGATACTAGATTTACTAAAGCCTTTAAGTAGGATGTAGTTAATCCAATCTTATGTTTGGACTCAAAAGTAAAGGATTGATAAGACAGCTGACACATTCCGACTCGGGTGACCAAATACTATTGTTGATGCACAAAAATGGAGGGGTCTTGGAACAACGGAAATCCGATCGTGAATCTGCAAGAAAGTAAAGAACACAAGATGTATCGTAGTTTATCCCAATGTTTGGGCTACGTCGACATTGATATTGTATTTCTCTGTTTGTTAGAGGATTGTGAGGGAGAGAGAGCTTCTGTATGTGAGGATCAGATCTTAAGGTTTGTGAGGGTGAGGAGACCCTTTTATAGAATAAGGGCTCCTCACTTATTACATATTTGCCCCTTCATTTATTACATAATTACATTTGAGTCCCCTTAGTATTTATACGAGGTCTAAATACGGAGGCCCTAAGTATGGTATAAACAGTAGTCCCCCAAGTCTTCAGTCAAGAGAGTCTTTTGGCTAGAGACTTGAAATTCAGTCCATGTGTGGGCCGAAGTAACTAGATGTCGTCTTGAACTGATACTTGATATGAGGCGGTGCTCAAAGTGAAATGATGCTCAACTAGAAGTAGCACATGTTGCGAGGCTGCTCGGTTTGTAGCTTATGTTGCCTTGATTGGCTCGGCTTGTGGCGTTGAAGGTGAGGAAGTCCCTTTTATAGAATAAGGGCTCGCTCCTCAATACATAAATGATGGGCTAGAGGTGATGCTCGCGGTGAGGCGGATGCTCAGTAGGCGGCAATGCTCTCTAATGATGGTGAACGAGTCCCTTTTATAAAATAAGGGCTCGCTCCTCAATACATAAGTGATAGGCTAGGAGTCTCTCTCTAATGAAGGTGAGGAAGTCCCTTTTATAGAATAAGCGTTCGCTCCTCAATACATAAATAATAGGCTAAGTCCCCCAAGTATTTTTCATGAGGCCCAGTTGCGGAAGCTTAATATATGGTACATAATGTAGTCCCCCAAGTCTTCAGTCAATAGAGTTTGTTGGTTGGAGACTTCAAATTGAATCAATGTATGGGCCGAAGTGGCGGTTGTTTGGAGACAGTCTTTGTATACCATGCACTGAAGCTTTGTAGTTGAAGCTTTGAAAGTGAAGCTTTGAAGCTGGAGCTTTTGTATATGAAGCTTTGAAAGCTGGAGCTATGTAAATGAAGCTTTCGAAGCTAGAGCTCTATAAATGAAGCTTTTAAAGTTGATTGACATGAGTGATGCTCATAAATGTTTATGTTGATTGACATGAGTGATGCTTATGGATGTTGACATGAGTGATGCTCATGAATGTTGACATGAGTGATGCTTATGAATGTTTATGTATGATTGATATAAGTGATGCTCATGAATGTTTATGTATGATTGATATGAGTAATGCTCATGTATAATTTTGGAGTACTAGACGTACTTTTGATCACCTAGTTTGTGATAATAGCGGTAGGCTGCCGAATAATTTTGGAGTATTGGACGTACTTTTAATCACCTGGTTGGTGATAATAGCGGCAAGCTGCCGAATAATTTTTTGTAGTACTGGACGTACTTTTGATCACCTGGTTGGTGATAATAGAGGTAGGCTGCTGAATAATTTTTTATAGTACAAGACGTACTTTTGATCACCTGATTAGTGATAATAGAGGGTCTGGCTCTTTTGGGCATATGGGCCTTTGCCCTCCACATAACATTCTAGCCCATTATTTTGAGCTTGCCGTTTTTTTTTTGTTTTACCCTCTGATGGGGTTTATACAGATGTCTTCGAAAGATAAGAAAAATAAATCACACCATTCAAAAACAAGAAAAGTAAATCACATCATTCTGGTGGGGTGTTTATTCCTTGCTTTTGCAGTGTGGGTGTTTATTCCTTGCTTTTGCTTTCTGCTTTGTAGGATTACAACATGGGTGAGCAGTGACTGTAAATCCATTTCCTCCTCGGCTTTTCTCATCTCCAGACATCCCTTTTTTAGAAGTGGAATCTTATCATGTTCTGTGCTTGCCACTTCTGTATGTTGGTATACCAACCCCACTGCTTTGGGACACGTCATAGATCTCACCCTTAGTAGCCATGAGCAGAGGCTTCTTACTGCTTTAATTCTCCTTCGGTGATCTTGCCGAGCTGGACGGGAGGCAACAGAGGCTGCATCTCCTCTTCCGAGTCATAGAAAAGACTAGGAAATTAAGCTATTCTTGTATGGTGCCGCATCTCCTCATCCAGAAACAACATTTTCAACCAATCAGTAACTTGTTCTCCTCTAAGAAGAAATAAGTGGGTACTTCCGAATTGTATGGTGCTGGTACCAGCTATGGAGTTATGGATTTGTCCACATTAGCCAAATCTTGCTCCAGCCAAGCCAAACTTTTGGTGACTTCAGAGTTGTGCTCCTGGTCGTCATGCAAGTCATCTAAATCGTGATGGAGGACGAAACCGCCAAAAAGCGGGCCGACTCCATCTGACCCAGAAGCCTCAATGTCGGATCTTCGGGAGCCCGGCCCGAAAGACCACCCGTAGTACAAACAGTGCAAGCCCAGGCACCCTCTGAGACTGATCAGAGCAAACTTCAGCAGCTTATTCGCCGAGGGGAAATAGCTGAGCTCGCTCTTATGCTTCATCTTCGGACGCTATTCGGGTTCGGGCTCGCCGTGGACGATGGGTCCGACCCGAGTTTTTTTTGGAGAGAGTGAGAGCAGTGGCGAAATGGAACACAAAGAATGCACAAGCCATCCTTCCATTCCGTAGCCCAATCCGATTCGAACGAACGAGATAAAGCTATCCTTCCATTCTTTGATTGGTTTGCGACATACCCATTTCGCAGAACCTCGATCCCCGATAAACCACCTCTCAAATTCGATCACTTTTCAGTATCTCAACATCCATGCAAAATCTTGGGCTCTGTTTGTGTGTGGGTCGGAGTTAGACCCCGTTCGGCTTGTTTAATAGTAGTGGAAAGAGAGATTTGAGAGCGAATGAGATAGCAGAATGGTGATCTTTTGAAGTTCTGAACTCAATCAAGCCATTGAACACATAGAATCGTGGCGTTCGTCTTTGGAATTGTAGGTGGAATTCTCTCTTTCTCCCTCTTTCTCTCTGCTCGAATGGATTGGAACTGAGCCCGAGCTCTAGAACCCACAAACCTGTCGGAGTTTCATGGAGAAGAGCACCAAAATCTGTAAAAAAATGCACAGATGCAAGTTATGAAGGTTTGAAGCATGATGTGGTGACGGATAGTGGTGAAAGTGATGGTGGTGTCTTTCGGTGCAAGAGAAAATGGAAAGACAAAGAAAGTGTCTCTTGGTTTTGCAGATCCACGATGGAGGTGAAAAAATGAAAGGGAACCGACACAACTTTTCGTATCGATTCCCACAGACGGCGCTAAATGTTGATGCACAAAACCGAAGGGGTCTTGGAACAACATAAATCCGACCGTGAATCTGCAAGAAAGTAAAGAACACAAGATATATCATGGTTCACCTCAATGTTTGGGCTACGTCCACACTGATATTGTATTTCTCTGTTTGTGAGAGGATTGTGAAGGAGAGAGAGCTTCTGTATGTGAGGATCAGAGCTTGAGGTTTGTGAGGGTGAGGAGGCCCTTTTATAGAATAAGGGCTCCTCCCTTATTACATATTTACCCCTTCATTTATTACATAATTACATTTGAGTCCCCCGAGTATTTATACGAGGTCTAAATACGGATGCCCTAAGTATGGTATAAACAACTATCAACCTAATAACGAAGTTATAACTAAGGAAATTTATAGTATTTCGTCACCTTTACGATGGGGTTTTATTATCAGTTTAGTGTCGACCATCACATTTTCACCCTTAGCTGGAAGGTTATTTCGGTCATGGTGTATCATTTTGAAGCTTATTAGATACTGGTCATGTGCATTTTTATGAGAAAACTAATCCTTCAAAAGAGGGATAGTTTTTCTTTCTAATATAATGATTATTTGCACTAATGGGCAGATAGTTTGGGTTAAGCCACACAAGATGTCAGGGGTGGATCCATTCATGGACGCGGAACAGACCTCCAAGGACCACTTAACAGTTTGGGCAGGTGGTGGAAGAGAGAAGATCACCATAACTGTGTAGATGTTGTGCAACAAAAGGTTTGAACCAAGAAGAAATATCTAATTTCAAACGAATAGGAACATAGGAAAGACCACTATGATTTTGTTATTCTTAGACCTTGATTCCAACGAAGAATAAAGACTTTCTCTCTCCATTTTCCACGTAACCAACTCAACTCTTTTTTTTTTCTTTCTTTTTTCATTTTAATTGTTGGCCAATCGTTTTGTCACTTGGCATTTTAATTAAAAAAGAGTAGTGTATTACTTAACAAATACTATTTAGACTATATGTTTGTCATCGACATTTTTTTTTCAAATTCACTATAAATTCATACAAGCTCTGAAAAATATTTTGTAAAGTACTAAAAACACGTAATCACTTGAACCTTCATCTCATATCATCAAATCCACTAAAATACAAAAGAAAAAATTCTGATATTTTTGTATGTTATTGTATATGTTAAATAATAAACCTATTTGAAATAATAAACTCAACTTCTTAATACAAGTATAGGAATTTGAACCTATGAAATTACATTATTGCCCATCATTTTTTTTGTGTGATAGAAGACTAATTTGTCTTTTCACCCTCTATTGGTTGACAAAGATGATTTTATTACTTAGTAGAGATATAATGAATTTACTTAACTTAAACCCGCCTAGTCCACCTAGGCCTAGTCTATGCGCATAGGTGCTAGATCTCAGCCCACCGTCCGATTGGCACTTAGCATACCATGATTAGGACCACCAATATTAAAATTCTGCATTCGCCATTGCAAGGTGCCATCAATAATTTGCACTAAATTTGCCTTTCTCGGAAGTCAAACCTAAGACCTCCCATCATGTAACCTTATTTTATTTTTGTTGTCAAATGATAGATTTTGATAGATTGAGTGTTAGATTAGTTATCAACAGGATTTGAACCCATGCCGTCATGCAAGAGGTTGACACCTCTCCACTACTGTAGTAAATGACCACGTGCATGTAACCTTATTTTATTATGACATATCTTTCTTGTCATGATTGAATACATCATTGAAACAATCATGCGAGAGCTCTACTAAGTCAATTGCGTAACGAGTAGGGGAGAGAGACGTAAGAGCAGAGCGGCATGTGAGATTCTCATCCACCTTGTCGCTCAGTACGTAAACCGAAGATGGGCAACTAGGGGTGGGCACGGTACGGTTCGGTGCGGTTCCACCCCTAAAATGGAACCGGAACCAGAAAATATCAACTGTTCAGTTCGGTACGGTTCCGTTTAAATTTATTATTAGAACCTTACGGTTCGGTTTACACCGGTTCCGATTCGGTTCTTGCCGGTTTACGGTTCCGAATACTAAATTATTTGAACACCACATCATCATACATTCAAATACATCTTCTAAAACCGATTATATAAGTTGCATACAATACATCTTTTTTAATGCAAATGTCTTTGGCAGTGGCACCAAGTGAATAAAAAGAGACAACTAATAGAAATATGCATTGGTCAGTTAGTTAACAAACAAAAAATGAAGAACTCAATTACTCAAGCAGCATTAGTCTCCTGATATTGGCAGCAACAACAACAGTTGCAAGTAAACAGAAATATTGAAATTGCATTAAAGGACACAACGACAGCAGCAAGCAACAACAGCAAGCAACAACAGCAAGCAAAAATGACTAGAAATAGCAGAAGACGGCATATTGCTTGGTTGTCTCATGAGTCTCCTTACTCCAACACGCAGCGCTCCATTTTCACCTCTGGAACATAAATGTAAAATGACACATAAGCAAACAATACACCAACTTAATGTTAAGCTAACAAAAGAAAAATAATTAATCCTCTTTATTGACTACAGACTTGCCTTAGGAATATAAACCCATCCCCAGATACTAATTTCTTACAACTAACAAAAACACTCCATCCAGTTGTGAGCAAGTGGCGCCTTGGTTGCCCTGGATTGTTAATGAAGAGGAAAAATGTAAGAACACATGAGAACAACACAGCATCATATAATGCCAGCCAGCATGACCAACACATGGATACAAATATTCCACAACATGATGCTGGATCGGAAGTCATGAATTTCACAGAAAAGAAAAGGAGAAAATACATGTATTGTTGTACTATTTTGGAAGAAATTAGTACAATAAAAAGATAAAGATGTCGAACAAATGGGTACACTAAACAGATGAAAAGATGCTGAAGTACAGCAAATAGACAAAAGGCTGAGCCACAAAATAATAAGGGCAAGCCAGTCCAAATCATTGCCAACCAAAACAACAAAACGTATGACTTGCGAGGTAATGGTCGCATTGCCTTGCAAGATAAAGGTCGCATGTTATCAAACCTCCTCAGAAATTGCCTTTCCCACGGGAAAGAACTTGCAGAGGACTAACCTCATGTGCCTTCCCCAATGCTAGATGTGCCACCATTCCTTTTTTCTAGAACATATAAAAATTAAGAACTCATTAGAAAATAAGAAAGTAAGCATGCAATAAAACAAGAGAAAAAACAAAAACAAAGTAATGAAAAATAAATATGTTCATTGGCTGAAACAAAAAAAATAAACAATTTGCAGAACAGAAGACAATTATGTTCAATTATTCATATGAAGATCAAAGTCAATTAAGGTTAATTATAATACAAAATTCAAGCACAAACACAAAAATAAATGAACCAATAAAAGTACTCATCTCAAAAAACAGGACGGAAATAGTAAAATGAAGCATTGGAGAGCCCAAATGGATCCTAAAAAGCAAACCCAGATGCTGAAATCACAAGAATTCAACGAATCTACTAACCTGAGACTTGCCCTTTCAACCGGCGATTGAAAATTTGAAACCTTTCTGCAAATTCTACAATGAAAGATTGAAACTTTCCTCTCAGTCGGCGAGAAAAAAAAAACCAAAAACTTGACAGAAAGGATGGAGACCAATTGGGTTATGGTGAATCAGTAAACGGTAGAGAAAATACCAAGGAGGGAGGATAGAGGATGAAGTGTCGTGACTCGTGAGCTGTCGCGGAAGAGGGATGATGAGGGCCGTCGTAGTTAAGGGTGAGAGGTCGTGAGTGGGGGTCGCCTTGCCGATCGGCTGTGTGAAATGGGGGAATCAGGAATTGGGGGGGGGGGGGGGGTGTGTGTGTGTAAAGCCGTGTGTTGTGTGTGAAGCCGTGTGAGTGAAAGTGAACCCTAATTAATTAGGATGAGATCCTCTGCTTTGCAATTTGGTGAAACCATTTTTTCAACCTATTATACCATGACATATGTGTATATATATAATTTATTTATTTATTATTAATAAAACGGTTCGGTTCGGTTCTGGCCGGTTCTTGATCATTCGAAACCGGAACTCATTCGAAACCGGAACCGGAACCGGTATAAACGGTTCAGTTCGGTTTTTCACCCAAAGTTGACTTTTCCGGTCAACATGGTTTTTTTCGGTTTTTTTTTTCATACGGTTCGATTCGGTTTTGCGGTTTGACGGTTTTTATGCCCACCCCTATGGGCAACAGTTAGCACCGTTAGAGACGTAAACCGAAGCCCATGGAGCCCAAAACTTCTAAAACCCACGAAGGAAAACGCGCTGCTGGTGCTAGGGTTTAAGCTCTCCTCTCTCTCTCTCTCTCTTCGCTTTCATCTCTCCCCCTGTCGCTCCTCCATTTCGTTGGGTTCTCGCTTGACGCACAAGAGATAAACAACCATGTCTCGGCCGGAGCTGCAAGCTCCACCTGAGATTTTCTACAATGAAGACGAAGCTCGCAAGTACACCCGCAATTCCCGAATCATGGAAATTCAGTCGGAGCTCTCCCACCGAGCCCTCGAGCTTCTCGCTCTCCCCGACGATGGCGTCCCCAGGCTGCTCCTTGACATTGGTAATATTTCAAAACCCAACTCCCCCAATCTTTCAATTCAGTTTTTCCAAAAAAATCCCAAAGGGGTTTGATTTTATTCACCGAAATGGTGAAACAGCTGAGTGAGTGATTGAGGTTTTCACTGCAGGTTGTGGGTCGGGGCTCAGCGGAGACACATTGTCGGAGAGTGGGCATCAGTGGATTGGTTTGGATATTTCCCAGTCGATGCTTGGTATGTGTTTTTATTTTTGGGGTTTTGTTTATCGTTTTGGATTTGGTTTTCAGCTTCTTGATTGCTTCCATGGTTTGTTCTAAATCGGAATTTCATTTCTTTGATGATTGCAGATGTGGCATTGGAGAATGAGGTTGAGGGTGACCTTCTGCTCGGGGACATGGGTCAGGTATCATTCTTAATGCCTCATGGTTCAGATTTTCGGCACGTCCCTTGTTATTTTTCTATCTTATTTGCGATTCTGCATTGTCATCCAAAAGACAAAGAAAGGAGACAAAATATGTATACAAATATGATATTGTTCAACCTGCAATTGTTTTTATTATCAGCATATGTAATCGTTGGATTTTGTTTCAGGGCTTAGGACTTCGTTCAGGAGTTATTGATGGAGCGATAAGCATCTCAGCCGTTCAGGTTTACTTTGTTTTCACTCACTAATACTTGCAATGATGGATAATGGACTTAGCTGGATTTTTTTTGCCTATCTTAGCTTGTGTCCCTTGTTTTATCAGTTTTTTTTAAAATTTTTTTTTTTTGTATTTATACTCCAATAGTGAAGAGCTCAAAATTCAATTATTTCCGCTCTATCTCATATCTTTTTCTGAAATAATTGCTATGTTGCAACTGATTTGTTCTTTTATTTTCATAACCCCTGAGATTACTTCATGTGTGCATTCCTTATGTTTTTTATACGGTTTACTATATGAATCTTACTCCCGTTTTACTTTACCATGTTTTAAATGCAGTGGTTGTGCAATGCTGATAAGTCCTCACATAATCCACGATTACGATTGAAGTATGTTGTGTTTCTTGGTGGTTTTTATTTTCTCATCATAATTTTGTCAGTATATGCTTGAAACGCAGTGAGATATGTGTCATGATCTTCTTATTGTTGGTCTTTTTACGACATTAAGCATAGGATGAGCCTGCAATCCCTTTTCAATTGCAGTATGAATGTGTTGTCTTAATCCTTTGCAGGGCTTTCTTTGGATCATTGTACAGATGCTTAGCAAGGGGTGCAAGAGCAGCGTTTCAACTTTATCCTGAAAACCTGGACCAGCGCGAGTTGATTTTGAGTTCTGCTATGCGTGCTGGATTTGCAGGGGGTGTTGTTGTTGATTATCCCAACAGGTATGCAAGAAACCAATTATGCAATCTTGTGTCATAGGCTGTTAGCTCTCTCTTTTATGGTACAACGCTTTTATACATTTTCTTGTGTACGTGCATCATTTTATCTTTCAGTAAACCTTTTTTTTCTCCCTTTCATTCTAACATTTTCTTCACACGAATGAGTGCGGAAAAAAATGGAATGTGTTGGTGTAACTAACCCAACATATCAAACTGTTGTGGTAGGGTCAGGGAACTAGAACGAAATATAGGGCAAAATGTCAGATTCCGACTTCACAGAGTTTTTAATATCCAAATTCTTCAAGTAGTATGTTCCTCTAACTTAAGGAATAATCTTGTTACAGTTCCAAGAAACGAAAAGAATACCTTGTCCTCACATGTGGTCCACCATCTATTAGCGCTTCTACTCCCAAGGGAAGGTGAAGATGGCGAGGGTTCCTCTGACGATGAGAGTGGTGAAGATGAAGAAAATCAGACAGTAAGTCTTCACGGATGCATTTACCATTACTATATTCCTGATTTTCTTGATCAACCGCCATTGCCTTTTTTGTTTAACCTTTCTACTATTCTAATTTGTTATTTTTTTTTAAACAAACGATATTATCTAAACTAAGGGGGTGGGGGAGTGTGCTAAGCCTCACAATGAGCCAGACATAATAATGTGGTTCAAATTCGCTTTTGGCGAGAATCAAACCTTAGGTCTCTCACTTACAAGTGAAGGGTAACACCACTAGACTGGAGTACTAAGTGGCTAATTCATTATATTTTATTTGTGGGAAGCAGGTTTCAAACTCAGACAGGCACAGGCCGAGGAAAAAGCAGAAGACAAATAAGAAAGGCAAGGGAAGAGAATGGATACTAAAGAAGAAGGAACAAATGAGAAAAAAAGGAAATGTTGTTCCCCCAGACACAAAATACACAGCTCGGAAACGGAAGGCTCGATTTTGATCTTGCACAGTCGACGAAGGCATTACCTCCTCTTTAGCGCTCGAAAATACTGGCTTTTAAAGCAGTTTTTATACTGATCTCTCTGGGCAACGGATTGATATGTCATTCACTCTTGTAACCTCAACTAGTTTGAGAAAAGAGACTTTATTCTGTTCTAAGAGGTATTTGTTTATTTGTCCAATCTTTGGTTTGTCCGCTGAACTTGTAAAGATTAGTCAATTTCTCCTCGTAACTTTAATTTTGGCCAATTTCCCTCCTCAAACTCTCATGATTAGTCAATTTCCGCATTGTTGGATTTTCAAACTTTTCGTCCAATCTTCGGTTTAATATGCCACCACGTGCCATCCACATGATCACCTTTAAAGGGCAAAAATGTTTCTTAATTAAAAACTACTAATTTCATCCCTTTTCTTAGATTGATTGCTATTTCAAAATCAATCATTGGTCAATTGAAATCATATATGACTTGTAAGTCACACTAGCACTTTATGGTTTATGACTTAAAACAAGCTATTTCATCCAGTCGTTCGTATCCAATGATTAACAAATTCAAGTCATATGACTTGTTGGGAACTAGAGGATCAAGAGTTGTGGTCTCATTTAGTCCATAGTATTCGTCAGTTACATGACGCGACACAGGTATAGTGGCTTCATGACGTTTCGTGCCCCATCCTTCGCAGCTTCTATTTACATTCATGGAAACTTTCGGCCGCCACCAAACAATATGTAAGCCACAACCAACGGGGCAAAAGTTTAGTGGATTGATTCGAAGAAAACTTTGAAGAATTCCTCTCCTAATTTTCTCCAGTGATCACATTTATTCACAGGATTGATTGTTTAGGGTTCAAGTTTAAGTTTTCTTTTCTTGATAGGGTTTGTCTTTTAACAACGACAGAACGTTCTCCGAGGAAGGTAAAAATGAATCGAAAAATGCAGAAACAAAGCCAAACAGAGGATACGACTTTCAACATAACCACAACCCATTTAAAGAGTGCATAACAAAAATTTCTTCAGCTCACATAATTTCTCATCCAAACAATTCACAAACATCCAACCCTACATGCAACTTAAAAAAGAAAAGAAAAGAGAAACTGGTAAAGATTACGAGATAATATATGACTCGGTAACAAGTGAGTTACAACTAGATTAATCAAAAAGAGAGAATCCCATGTCATCGTCGCTCTCCTCCTTCTCTTCCTTCTTCTCCTCAGCCGGGGGAGCCTCTGCAGCAGCCGCTGCACAAACTCCAGGAGCAGCAGCAGCAGCTCCACCTCCAATGAAGGCACCACCGCCACCACCACCGTCACCAAAGATCACCTGAACCGAACAAGTTTAAACATACGAATTCAGCAGCCCAACGCTTGGTTTTCAATGTTTTCTCAACATAAGCTACCACGGAAAACAAATTATATCTTCCAAAGTGCTTTTGACGTTCTAACTGACCTTACAGGAAACTAAAAAGAAAAACTAATGAAAAGAGTTTGAAAACTTGAGTTTTAACGATAAAGACAAAATAAAGGGTAAAATAAATAGTATCATGTTTGACTTTTTAGTGTAAAAATATGATTTTTCGTTAAAGTAAACAGTAACACGGGTTTTTCATTAAAAGCCCCAAAATAAAAAGGAGTAGCAGCAACGGAATACAATTTGCATGGCTACAGATGCATCGATGAACAATTGAGCAAAAACACAATTCTGACTATCTTGAAGCAAAGCCCCTAACACAAGGGTTCTGGAGCATATTTTACATGTGAAACAAGTCCTACAAATTGGCATGGTAACAAATGCATCCCCAAACAATTTGAGCCAACACAATGCTGACTAATTTGAAACAAAAAACCAAACACTAGGGTTCTGGAGCCTATTTTCCATTAATAACCTGCATTTTCTTCAATCATTATTTTTTATTTTTTCCAACATTCGATTGAAATTCAAGGAAAGCATAATAAAACAAATTAAAAGATAGAGATCAACAAACAATACATAACAAACCAAATCAAATCTCGCATTTCAATTTTCCATGTCAAATGGAAACCCTAAGAAAAAAACAGGACTGAAGAATCAAAGCCAAAGGACCAACAAGGGAGAGAGAGGGACCTGGAAAACGGCAGAGGTGGGAGTGACAGGAGAGTAGGAGGTCTGGACACCGCCGGAGGACTCGGAAGAGAGAGCGGACTGGACGAGCTTCCTCTGGAGCTCGAATGTGGAGGGAGCGGAGGCCTCAAGGTCTCCATTCTGCTGTTTGGCGGACCACTCTCCCCCGGAGGTCCTCAACACGAAGGTGAACATTCCCATGGCGAATCGAAAACCCTAACCCCAAATCCAATGCAGCTTTCTGTATACAAGAGTTTGGCGCTTTGAGACCTCACTTTATGCTGTGTTTTTGCTCTATATGTAGAATACGATGCCAAAACCCTAGCAGCCGCTTAATAATTTACAAAGACAAGTTTGCCCCTGTCATCTTCCACAATTCCATTTCTTTATTTTTTTTCTTCTTTTCTTTAACACAAAGAATCTCGAAACTCAGGTTTCAAGTTTGGTAAGAATCTCGAAACTCAGGTTTCAAGTTGGGTATTAGGGCTCAAACATATCGAAAAACAGTGTTGGCATCCTCGTCGATAAGACTAACACAAAGTGTCGTAGATGTTAAGAGGCTTAGGGGTGGAATTATAGCAATCAAGGTTGTGATTGGACAAGAACTCATTAATGTGATTAGCGCGTAAGGATTGCAAAATTATACTGGGAGAGAGTTTGGCTAACCAACATCGATTGTTGGGATGGATGTACATATCAAAACAGATAAAAGGATGAACAAGACCTTGAAGTGTTCAAGAGCTAGATGGTGGAATCTAAAAGGAGAAATAGCAAGTCACTTTCAAAGAGAAACTACTCGCTGAATGCGTTTGAGATATAGAGGGGAACGCTAGCCAAATGTGGGATTTCATGGCTAGTTGTATCCGAAAAGTTGCAAAAGGGGTCTTAGGAGAGTCCAAGGGTTTCACTCCACACCAAAAGGAATCTTGGTGGTGGAAGGATGAGGTATAGGAAAAGGTTAAGGCTAAAAAGGAATTATAAAGTCTTATACAAGGATAAAACTGATAAAAACTGTGAGAGGTATAAAATAGCGAAGACGGAAGTAATGAAAGTCGTCAGTCCCCACTATATAACGATTAAAGTGCGGAAGGTCTTGGGAGAATTAAGTATAACATGACTCACAAACCTTTTCAACGCGATTTAAAACCGAAGAATATGTCAAATGAGTGGCAAAAAAGCACTTTCGCACCTATCTACAAGAATAAGGGCGACATACAAATTGCATGAACTATATGAGTATTAAGTTAATGAGCCATACAATGAAGCTTGAGAAGAGAGTAATTGAGCATAAACTGAAGCAAGAGACATAAGTCTTAGACAATCAATTTGGGTTCATGCCAGGGCGCTCGAGTATGGAGGCAATATATCTCTTACGAAGATGGATGGAACAATACATATAGAATTTAGAGAAATGCTAAGGAGACTCCTAAAGTAGGACTCTCTATGAAGTCTTCAAGAGAAAGAAAACATTTTCACTTTCGATGTCAACATTCTCTTCGCTGAAGCCAATCCCACAATTCTCTCGAGCTGAAATGCAATAAGCGAAAAACAAAAATACACACGCATATCAAGTTTTTCAGTATTCATTGGTCCGATAATCAGACAAACAAACAAACAAAATACAGAATCTAATTCATATTCGCGACATCAGGCAGTGTAAAACGACAACAGGAGATTAACAAATTTCATCATATAGATCAGATTCACACAATTCGGATGTTAGGCAGTTTCTTTATTGAATTGATGAGAACCGAGCCAGTTTCTAATATAAAAAGTTAACAACTACCCTATCTCATCCTCATAATCAAATTGAGAAAAGAGCACCGTGCATGCCATGTCATTGGATTGGACCCATCAAGCATATTAACAATCTGCAATTAAATAAAAAGAGCGTTTTGGTTTACGAAAAGAAGAATATTATTTTTAAATTTGGTAGCTCTTCAATTGCTTCTTAAGGAGAATGACTATTTGTATCGAGCTCACCTCAGGGTAAAATTCCTTTCTCTCAGGCAGAGAACATATGATTAAATTCTCAACGCCACGGATCTACTCACCACAAAATACTTTCCAAATTAAGCAAACAATATCCAAAATGGAAAGGCACAAAATACATCAGCATTTGGACAAGAAAAGCATGCTCAAAGCAGTCTAAACAACCTTATATCTGTGGTAAATGTGTGATCTCTCAGTATAAAGCATTCTCTTCCGCTTTCCTTCAAAGAACCGAACCCGTGCACGAGAAATATCACTCTGCTCTGCATAACAACATAAGTAGGACAGGTTCTTACTCATGAAGTAAACACAAGGATGCACTCTGTGACTTCAAAAAATTCCCAACTCGAACATATTCAAAGTAACAACTGATAAATATCATAATCCCGCCCTGAACAAAAGTTTCCAGGTAAAGATATCGTGAAAAATTCCAAGGATCATTCAAGGACACTTTAAACAAAAATTTATTAATAATTGCAATTTTAAAAATATTAGGCTTCAAATAATTACCTCAACAGAATGTTTTATCTTTGGGAAGACCTGAAAACAGAAAAAAACACTAACCATCTCAAAATGTGACTAAAAAGATGAAAAAAAAAAATCAAGCTAAACTAAAACAGTCAAGAACAGAGTGTGTATTTCAATTTCTTAAAACGCAGCAAGTTCAATGACATGAGTAGGGTTTGGGTTAAGATTGGAATATTTTTTCTTTCCAAAAAACTGAATTTATATCAGCAACTTTTCATATTCTCTTCCAACTTCAAGTGCGAGTTGTTTTAGCTAGTACAAACATTGCCCCAATCTTCCTAAAAGTCTTGGCACAAAAGTATTTGTTTCCATAGATTTGAAAACAAAAACTTCAGGAACTATTTATTAAGGAAGATAATAAATCTTCCATTTCTGTTGATGTAAAATAGTTTAGCAAAAGTTAAATGTGGTTAGTTTGTTATTAACTGTAGTTGGTTAGAATGGTTACAAGTTCAGTTAAGGTAGTCAAGGGTATATTTGTAAAGAGAAAAATGCTATATATATTCTCTTCTGTGTAATTGTACATTTGTGAAATGAAATACAATCTTATTGAAGAAGTTTTATCTTTCTATATGGTCTCATCGCCAGTCGCCTCACGGCTCCTCTCGATCCTCTTCTCTTCCGCTCCGATCTTCTGATCTGTATCTCGATTTGTTCTCTGTGGCGTTTTTTGTTCTGCATCTTGTTGATCTTGATCTGTTTTCATGGCGACTTCGTCTGAGTCGGTGCCTGTTCCTAATCCCTCTTCTAACCCTAGTTCATCTTCGAACCCTAATTCCTCTTTGTATTCCTCTCTCACGATCCAAAATATTGGCAGTATGGTGTCAATAAAGCTCAAGAGGACCAATTATCTGCCGTGGTGTGCTCTGTTTGCTCCGATTCTTCGACGTTATCGTCTTTTTGGTATCGTCGATGGCACCGAACCCTGTCCTTCTCCTCTTCTGCCTGATCGTACTCTTAATCCGGCTTTCGAAATTTGGTATGAAAGATCAGAATCTTCTGATCTGGTTTAATTCCACGTTGTCTGAAGAGGTAATTCCTGTTACAGTTGGTGTTTCGTCTTCTCGAGATCTGTGGCTTAAGCTCGAACAACGATGTGGGGGTATCTCTGATGCACATGTTCATCAGCTTCGTTCTCGCCTTCAAAGTGTTCAGAAAGGTTCTCGATCCATGTCTGATTATTTGCAAGAACTCAAAGAGATATCCGATTCTCTCACTGCTGCTGGAGCCTCAATTTCTGATCGCGATCTCATTGCTGCTCTGGCTGGTCTTCCTGATGAATTTGAATCTTTCACCGACTCAATCATGCTTTGGTTATCGTTTACATCTTTGGATGAACTACATGGCTTGCTCCTTACCAAAGAGCTTTCTCTGAATCGTCGCAAGAAAGTTGTCTCTTCTGGTATGTCTGAACCATTTCATGCCTTATCGATTCAGGCTCAACCTCCACTTCTTCCCACCCCTCCACAGGTGTATGTTGCTCAGAATCAACCCCTTCAGCACTCTTTTCGTTACAATTCCAATCGTGGGAAGCAAAATCGTGGTAATCGAGGCTTTCATCGTGGTAATTCTTTTACTGGTGGTTTTAATCGTGGTAACTCTTTCATTGGTGGTTTCCATCGTGGTAAAATCGTGGTTCTTCCTCTGGTCCTCGGGCTTCTTGTCAGATTTGTGGTAACTCCAGTCATGAAGCGCTTGACTGTTTTGACCGGATGAATCCTGACATCTGTGGTCGAATCCCCCCTTCCAAACTTCAGGCAATGTGTGCCCGTTTCGATGCCAAGTCCTTTCCTACTTGGTTAATTGACTCAGGAGCAACCTCTCACATTACTAATGACATATCAAATATCACCTCTCCTACTCCCTACACTGGTGAAGACAAAGTTTACATCGGTGATGGTAAAGGTCTTCCCATTTCCCATGTTGGTTCATCTACATTATGCACCCCTACTTCTTCTTTTACATTGTCTAATGTTCTTCATGTTCCTCATATGCAACACAATTTGCTATCTGCCTTTCAATTTCTCTAGGATAATTATTGTTCATTGACTCTTGATTCTAATGGCTCCGTTGTTAAGGATCGTTCGACGGGGAAGACGTTTTTGCAGGGTTCCGTTAAAGATGGTTTCTATCCTTTGCAGTCTACTACATCTTCTAGTTTCGTTTCTGGTAAAGCTTCTCCTTCACTTGCTGCATCAGCCTTTGTCAGTATTAAAGCTCCAATAAAGGTATGACACAGGCGATTGGGTCATCCATCTTCTGCCATTTTTCGTCGGGTAATGTCTACTACTACTCTTGCCGTCCAAGGCCGGTCTACCGTTGATTTTTTCTGTTCCGATTGTGCATTGGCAAAGAACCACAAGCTTCCTTTTGGCCTGTCTTCTTCAGCAACTACTCACAGTCTTCAACTTTTACACTGTGATTTGTGGGGACCTGCTTTTGTTACATCTAGCAGTGGTTTCCGATATTACTTACTTCTTGTTGATGACTTTAGCAAATACAGCTGGTTTTTCCCTTTGAAGGCAAAGTCGGATGTATTTTCTACGTTTGTTGTTTTCAAGAATTATGTAGAAAATTTGCTTGGTAATAAAATCAAAGTGTTGCGTTCAGATTCAGGGGGTGAATTCACTGGTCATTCTTTTGCATCTTTTCTTAATGAGCATGGTATTTTTCATCAATTAAGTTGTCCACACACGCCTGAACAAAACGGCTGTGCTGAGCGAAAACACCGACATCTTGTTGAGACCGCCCGGACCTTACTTGTTGC